CAAAATCCAACCCTTGGGTCCTTGTCCCGGGAAGTGGAAACGCCACTCGATGAATTTTGAATGGCGGCTGAAGGGGCTCTGGTACATTAGATATACTGGTTCGTTTATAAAATTATATTTTATGAAAAAATTTTTTGTTAATTTAGTTTATTTCACTTAATCGTCTTCCTACTTCAAGTTTAGACAAAATACTCAATACTGTAATCATTTAAGTAGAAAGCAGGGCTGTTGAGTCAGAGTCGAAGTCGTGGAGTTTTGGTGTTTTAGCCGAAGTCGGAGTCGTCAAAATATCCGCCGACTCCGACTCCTTTTTAATTACCAACTTGTTATGTATATAAAACGGAAAAGTATTGGAATCGTGTCAAATTTGACCCTCCAAGTTTTTTTTTTCAAATCTACACGTTTGGAGACCTCCCGAACCCCTCAAAAAAGTCAGTAAAGGGCAAAAATTCGCGCAAGTGTGTGTGTTGGCATCTAATTTGTTTAATTTCTTTATTTTCTGTTCTGAGATATTAAACTATCTCAGGATGAGTAAAGTTTAAGAAACGAAATGTGGCACTGTAGCTTGCGTATAAAAGAGCATTAATACTATTAAATTTTGATTCTTAATTAAAGGTCGACAGGGTAAAGACATAAAAGTGGTCATGTGTGATTAATGAATATTTTACTCGTTATTAGCGTTCAAAATTTAAAAAAATAAAATAAAACTCGTCACTACACTCAAAGTAAGCTTTTTTGCCATTTTATAATAGTATAGTAAAACCCCGTTAAGATGTTCTCGCCTAAGATATTAGAATGTAAATGGGGACATGATTTAGTTCAACCACTTCGACGCTTAATAACCTACTCCTGTGTTAAACCATCTGACTCCGATTCTGACCACTCTGACCACAGAAATTATTAGGCTTCAAACATGGTGTACAAAATCATGCCCCACACACACAGTCTAACATCCACACATATAGAAAAAAACCTCGAATCTTTTGCCTATCTCGAAATTTCAATGTGTCCTGAAATTATTAGGCTTCAAACAGGGTGAACAAAATCATGCCCCACACACACAGTCTAACATCCACACATATAGAAAAAAAACCTCGAATCTTTTGCATATCTCGAAATTTCAATGTGTCCTGAGTTCAAAAATATAAAAATTTGGNAATTTCAATGTGTCCTGAAATTATTAGGCTTCAAACAGGGTGAACAAAATCATGCCCCACACACACAGTCTAACATCCACACATATAGAAAAAAAACCTCGAATCTTTTGCATATCTCGAAATTTCAATGTGTCCTGAGTTCAAAAATATAAAAATTTGGGAGGGGTCATTTTTAACCGAGCACTACACTTTTCCTCTGTTATATATAACAGCCGGAAAAGTAAAAATTATCGAATACATATTTATATTGGCCTATTACTTAGAGAAGTCTTTTAGCTTTGGAATAAAAAGTTTCTACGTTCTATCTTTGTTAGTACTCTATTTATTGAATCTTTTATTCTAAGGTCACGTGATTACATCAGAATTTCTGGGTCTCTTTTGTTAACAAGTCCGCCCCTAGTCGGAGTCGGATGGTAAGGAAAAGTCGGAGTCAGAGTCGGAATTGGAGTCGTTAGATTTTTACGCGATTCCAGAGCCTGGTAGAAAGTGAAATTTGTAAAGCAGAAATCATCAGAGAAGTTTTTAAGAATATATTTCACTTTCATATCATTCTGGTAAAATATTTTATTTTCAGAAGACGGTGTTACTATCAGGACAGGTTGGATGGCGTAAGGCCTCGTTTTTTCTATAAAATGCAACGAATGTCCTATGATGGTAACACAACGTGGTGCCCCTAAAATTAGCATGGAATCCCATCGACACGACACACTTCTGATAAGTGTCAGAGGTACGTTCCTTTTTTTCAAGCACTTAATTGAGAATTAACCTGGTAAGACCTGAGGTTCTAAATATAAGGCTGTCTTAACAACTTATCACCAGATTCCGGATATACCGAACCGAATGCCAAGCCACTGCTTTACACCAGTTAAAGAAATTTTAAAATGTGTTAGATTGATAAATTCCTTTTTCACTGATGTATTTCTGGTAGAATGTTGTTTCATACATCATCACCTCTGCTTGTTGATGTCACGTTTTGACCTCCAGTTTCCTGTGAAGCTTTGCAATTTTTGGTTTCACTTTCTTTTATGTCAAATCATTCAAGGTCTTTTGTGTTGCTGAACGACATCAAATGGACTTTTGAGTGGTTAAACTCATTTATGCTCTTTTTGCAGCTCTTCTCACCTACGAACTTTTGTGATGTTGAGGATACCCATAGACTTTAGGGCGGTACAACTTATTTTGTGGTGTTTTGAGACACCCTCGAACTTTTGCGGCGCTTCTCACTCACGGACTTTAGTGGTGCTGAAGATATCCATTGACTTATTAAAAGTTCACAGTGACAGTCTCATATGTGTTTCTCTGCTTTCTTACGTATCAATCTTATACAGGATTCTTCAAAAACTTTGATTAAAAATCTTTTGTCAACTGGAACATCGCTGTTCTAGACACTTTCATTGTCATGGGTTTGCTTTTATATTTAAGTTTTAATTGTTAATATAATATTACATAATATTAATTGCATAATAAATATTAAGTTTTAATTGTTAATATAATATTACATATTAGCATTTATGCCTTATTGTTAATTGTTTTACAGCAAACTGTTGTTATTTTATCAGCTGATGTAACATTATTGTTATACTTTGTAAGGTGTGTTCTAATTATACTTTGTATATATCCTCGACATGTAAAAACCAATTGCTGTTAGTACATAGTACATCCATGTTATTACTATCTATGTTTGTAAATCAACAAGTGTACTTATTTATAAAGAATTGTCCTGTAAAATCAAAACATATAACTGAAATTTTACAATGATAATGTACTGTTATTTTATATCTGTAAAGCCAACTGACAAATGTATTATAATACCTGATTATGCATTTGCGACATCAGGTCATGTAACCTTGTTACATTAATAAATTTAAATGAATGAATGAAATGTGTTAGATTGGGCACTCAGTGTGATAAACTCTTTCGTTAGATAACTTTTGTAAATATAAATCAAATACTATAATATAAATGAAATGATTTTATAATATGATAAAAATTGCAGCTTGGCATTGAGACGATGTCGCAATAAATAGTTGCTCGTCCATCTATTTAATAAAGTTTATTTCAACATTTTTAGGTAAGTGTTATTAAACTTTTTTAACTGTATGACGAACGAAATACAGCAGTTTCTCGGTTCTCGAACAAATCGGTATTCGAATACAAATTTTGAAAAAAGTTTCTTGGTACTCGACTAAACATATTTTTATTTCGTGATCCATAAAAAATTTTTGATAAGGAAAAAAGCGCCTTCGTTTAACTAAAATTAATATTAACGCGTAATACAGTACTTTTAAATGTGACTGATAATTAATTTTTGATTATAAATAGATTATCGATTGTTTTAATAAACATATTTCTTTTACGAAATTATTACAAAAGTTATTTCTAGCCCTTGATATAATTATATTAATTAAATTATCCACAACCGTGAGGCATCAATTTAGTCCCTGACTTTTGTAATAAAACCCAAAAATACATCCAACCAAACCACCCAAACAATATGGTTAATATCCTTTAAAAAAGCAATGTGATATGCAGGTTTAACTGTAGCTGTAATAACCCTATGACCTATGTAGGTGAAACAAAAAGATGTCTCAATGTTCGTATAAAAGAACACATAAACGCCATCAAATACAATTCTGAATACTCTGCAGTTGCCAAACACTGCAATCTATGGTTGTGAAATTGATAAAAGTACAATAAAAGCAATAAAATTTGAAACTAACACCTATAAACGTAAGTATTTTGAGCACATAGAGATTTTAAAAATTAATAATGTTAATAGAATTAAGTGTTAAAATTGACGAAGGATGGTATAATTATATCTTTTAAAAACTAAATATCCTTATGATGTTACGACCATATTTATTGTTAAAAACCGTTGGGAACTTGTAATTGTATCATTTGTTGTCACCACTTGTACACCAGATGTGGACTGTCACACACCTCCCTTACTACCTCTCCCAGCACCTTGTTGTAAGTTGGCACCTGCTACTCTGTCGTTTTACTGTTTTTTCGTATTAGACAGGGTTCCTACTCAATTTTTTTTTTAAATTCCACGACTTTGTACAAAATAAAACAGCACGCGACATACTTTGCAAACATGCTATTGCTTCTTTGACCTTTTTGGTCAAAGAAGAGAATTGCCGAGAATCAAACGAACTATTTTCAATTTGATAATTTTTCTGGAACGTTTACAATCGTTCTATAATCGAACCAATATGCAATAACAAATTCGAACATTTTTAAAATTGAAAAAGATAAAAATATTTATAACAATGTCTGAAATGTTATCAATTTAATACACCTAAGTACTCAATGAAGACTAAACGTCGAAGAAAGCAGACACAGATGCTGGTCGAAGACGGCCGACATCACCGCACAAACAAAGCCCACGGCGGGCGAAAAAAGACGATATTTTAATTTTCTATTGTTTCCAGAGAGTTCTTGTTTATTTGCAGTTAATGTAGCAGTTTACCACTCGCTATCGAATCTGGAACGATCGAAAAACCACAGAAATTTTCGGGGCTAGTCCGTCCGAATACGTCGGGTCTCATCCCTCACCTCCCATAATGGGGCTTACAATAAAGTGGCCCACTAAGTACACACAGAATAGAAAGAGTTAAATAAGAAAGCCAAACTCAAATTGAAATGATAACGATTTAAAATTTATCTGTATTTAATTTGTATTCTTATTCTATATTGTTCTCGTCTTCCCGCCGAGAATGTTACATTAATTAAACCGGGCCACCCGCATAGCAGGCTGCCATATACGATTCAATCACCAATTCCCAAGTTTAGAGTGTTTTCAATTATGCTTTCGTAATATCGTCGACCTGTTTTCAAACCTTTTTTTTTGTATAGAAAATAAAGCGATCGTGTCGCTTCCACCAATGCAGGGATGTAGCCACGTCGGGTACCAATTCGCCAATTTTTTTTGTATTATTTTTCAGTGTCTGTTTTTTAATACTCTTTTTAGACTCAACCATATATGCGGTCTCTATTTTCTGTCCTTTTACCTTTCATCTGGCTTATCACACCAAAGCTGCTGACAGGTATTTTAAATCATGAAGACAAAATTATATTCAAGTGCTATATAAAAATACAGTACAGTAATTTTGAAATGAAAGACAAAATTAATAATTCATACAGTTGACTTGAAAATTTAATAATTGTTTCGATGCTATTATAACAGAAACAACGAATACCATTCTTGCATTGTAAGGCCGATTATTTCATAATTTATTGTTCATAATGTCGTAGAGCGGTTAGATTTCGAGTGCTCGGGAGCACGCGTTCGTCTGACGTGGAACCCGGGAGCTCGAATCAAAGGATTCTTAATTAATTAATATAGTTACGATATTTATTATTACAGTATTGCTAGATACTTAGAGCCAGGTATACCACAAATTACACGCTCCGTCTGGCCCAGTTTGGAGTGCGATAAGCTGTCCTCGGCGCCAGGTAGGTATTAGTCCGTCAATCGGAACGAATTTTAAATCCGGAAACAAATGGATGGACAAGATAGACGACAACGTAACGCTGGTGTTTGCAGAGTCATGACGAAAAGATAGAAAGACATCGAGGACTTCGGTCCGCGACGGCACGAAGAAGCACGAATTTCGCTTTTTAGACGATTTCACCGGTTTCATTACAACACATCCTTACCAACACTTCTCACCGTAACATTCACAATTGAACCATTGTCTAGTTTGTTCGTCGCATCCAATCATTTACATATCACGCTTCGTTACAGTAAACGACACCGTCACATAACATCAACACTGCTTCCCGAAATCCAACCCCTAGGTCCTCGTCCTGGGAAGTGGAAACATCACTCGTTTTCGAGTGGCGGCTAAAGGGGCTCTGGTACACTAAATATACACACATTACAGTTGTCTTAATCTTCCAGTGCAACTTTGTCAGTACAGATTTAAAAATAATTACAAAATGCTAAAACTTTCTAAAGATATTTTTATTGAAGAGCACGGAGACGCAATTAAAAATATTTCAATTATTTGAATTTTTCACTCTTAATTCCTCTGTCATATCGCATTTACGTTCTCTCCAGTCTTAAATTTCCTTTCTTTAGCTTCAATTTTAACTTGCACGAACGAACGAATTCGAGTTATTATGATAATGGGGACTCACATTCAGCGTGAAATCACCAAAGAATTTAACAGGATGCATTCAAACATCCCACCAATCACATAAAACGGTTACGTAGTGTATTAAACCTTCCAGCTGACTGGTAGTCCCGACGGCCGGACAGATGAGGCGATTAAGGTGGTCAGATTAACGCTCTGGGACATTCGGGATCGAATCCGGGGGGGGGTCGAAAAACTTCAGATGTTTTTTATGAGCGGTCATTTTTAGGTATGTTGGACTTCATCCTTCATCAGCCAGTCCCCTTTTTCTTATACCTTGAGAAAAAGGCCTTTTTAGTTCTCACAGGGCGGATAAAGCCAAAATTGAAAAAGACTGTGGTCCCCATTATCAAAATAATTTATTCATCCTTACTCAGTACTGTGCTTTATCCGTAAAAGTATAAAGATCATCATAACCCCTATGGCACAATACAGTATACATTTAGTAGAAAGGAATAGAGTCTGTTGCTTAACACTTTATCCGTGTTAAGCAACAGACTTTACCCTATTAGAAGTCGGAAAGAAGAGTTTAGGAAAGCAAGAAGAAGAAGTAAAGGAGGATAGAAAAGTGTGAAGATAGAGCAACCAAGGCCCCCACGGGACCCGACGGGCGCCTGCATCGGGTCTTTTATTAACAAACAAACAAACCTATATACATAATGGGTAATATTACTTTACAATACAATTTTGCCCGACAATTTAATTTTCCTTTAACAATATTTTAACAATAGCATAACAATTTGATTAACATTAGAATTTTTATATTTACAATGTTTATCAGTAATTTGATACCACAGCTTGTGGTTTTATGCATTGAATGTTAAACTTATATACAATGATCAGTAGCTACAAGTTGACTAACGCGATATATAATTGATGATCTTTAACAAAATGTATACCACAAACAAGGCATATACAAAACTAATTGCTACTGGCAATTCATTCACCTGGAATGGATGATTTATCTTAATTTGACAGATATATACATGTTATTGCCAAATTATATTATAAAATAGAGTATCTTATAAACTGTACATTGTATATGTTACCTCAAAAGACCAATTCAATTAACTATATTAGAAACCAATAACAGTTGATTAACCGTACAACCGATTACAAACATGAATTTTATCTACAATCTTTTAATACTTTGCTACCTGCCTGGACGTTCAATAATTACTTTGAATGCAGATTAAAGAAAAATCAATTTGTGTATAATTATTATACAAACTGTACAATCGCATCAGTGTCATTTTTACACCATATCACTTAAATATATATAAGTTGGTATTATTGTTACAATAACACCATTACAAAGTCCATTATTAGTCTTTTTAAGGCAGCCATAATCATCCATATTGCCTTATAATTAATTATCTTATTCTAACAATTATTAAACAGATGAATGTACATGCTGTTCCCTTGTCGCTGCCTGGAAGGACCCCATGGATAATCACACAAAGAGCTTTTGCGTCAATTATAAGCACACCATATTATGAACAACTTTTGAACAGGTGAATCTTTTGGAATCCTCTCGGTCACTCGCTGTCTTCAGTATCTTCACTGACGCTGTTAATTTCTCTGTCGTTGTCTTGGTTGTCACTTAGATCACTTTCTGTTACTGCACCGCTGCTTTGTTGACTTTGGACTGTATTTTGTGCTTTGGTTTTGCTATAGTCTGGTAATAGGGTTCCTGTTTTAGTTATAAACTGTTCCAGGCTTTCCCATACTTCTTTATTGTTAATTATTCTATGTTGATCTGTTCTCCACCTTATACCATGTAACATGCATTGTCTAAAAAATTGTTGTCTGCTTTGCTCGTATTTTTTACAGTCAAAAAGTAGATGATTCGCATCTCCTTCGCTTTCTTCATCACAATCACAATTTTTTCTCCTTGATATTTTGAATCTATATAAATAAGCTTGAAAGCTACCATGATTAGTCAGAATCTGGGTAGTTTCATGACTAATTTTATAATGTTTGTTGCCGAGTCTATCCTTGATTATTGGAAAAAATTGGAAGCAATGTCTACCTGTGGTAGAATTTTCCCATTCCTTCTGCCAGGTTGTAACTTCCCAATTCCTCATTTGTTTCTTTAACTCTTTCATTGGTATCCTTTTATATGTTATTTTCGAATCCGATGTAACTGCCCTTTTAGCTAAAAAGTCTGCCATTTCATTTCCTTTTATCCCTTGGTGCGCCGGTATCCAACTGAATAACAAATTATTGTTATCCGCAATTTTATGGGCCTCTCTAATAATTTCTACTGCCAGTAATGGGATGTTCTTTTCCTTCCTTAGTGTCTGCAGTGCTACTCTACTATCAATATAAAATTTTATACTACCTTTGTATGTTTCCAGGTTTGTTCTTATATGTATCAATGCTTTGTAAATAGCCCATAATTCCGCCTGTGTTATGGTACAGTGGTTTGCTATTTTAAAGTTAGCCTAATAAGTTTTAACTTTTGAATTTGTTTTTGTGATGTAGATTCCAGCACCGGCTCCTTCTGTTTGCCTAGACCCGTCAGTGTAAACTAACCACTGATAGTCCTTGTCCTTTTTATTTTCATATTCTAAGCTAACTTTGATTTTCATGCTTTCTGCTGGGTGAATTTCCAAGCTAATACTATTGTCAATCTTGTCAATTTCGGTTGTTAATATATTTTCTGATATTTCTTTTATATTCTTCGGTATAAGCTTATTTCTAATGTTTTTGTTTATTTCTTCAGTTGTTTTTCCCCATATTCTCGTATTCGTTACAATCCATTGCCAGGCTTTGGACTTAGCAGTTATATGAATAGGGGTCAAGCCTGCTATCGCCAGCAAAGCATCTGTTGGCGCCGTTCTATACGCCTTAGTGATTTTAATAGCAGCTTGCCTCTGTACCGAAAGTAATCTTTTCTTTATATGTATATTATCTAGTGCTTCTTGCCATACCGGCACAGCATATAGTAAGGCCGGTTCTATAGCAGTTTTATAAATGAGGGTACTATTTCTTGGATTTAGCCCCCAATACTTTCCCATAATCCAATTAATCTGGTTTATTCGTTGTTTTGTTTTTGCGGTCAGCTCATTAATATGGTGGTGCCAACTGAGATTGGGATCTATGTGCACTCCTAGATATTTTAATGTTTTAACCTGCCTCACTCTTTCATTGTTAATACGTAACTTGAGCGTTTTTTTCAGTTGTCCTCTTTTATTTTTGCGCGTGCAAACCAAAGCCTGACATTTGTTATGATTAATTGGTAGACCGTGTGCCTTACTCCACTGATATATTTCTTCCATTACTTCATTTGCTTTGTCTCTCAGTTTATCGCAGTTTTTATTTGCCACCATGACCATAAGGTCATCAGCAAAAGCTTGTGTTTTAACATTTGTTCTTCCATCGAATTTTCTTAATAATTTGTCGAAAACCAGATTCCACATACTTGGTCCGCTGCGCGAACCTTGAGGACAACCTTTGTTTATTTCTTTTTTAATATGAATATTGTTAGCCTGAAAGACAATATATCTATTTTGGAGATAACTTTTAAGCAGGTTTATTTCGTTAGTTGTCTGTTTCATTTCCTCTAATGTATTTAAGATATCCTTCCAACTCAGATTGTCGAAAGCTTTACTAAAATCAATAGTAATGAGCAAGGCGTGACTTTTATTATCCCAGGCTGTATGTATAAATTGTTTCACACTCATAAGGGCATTGATAGTTGATTTATTTGTACGAAATCCATATTGATTCTCGTGCATTTTTCCGGAAGTATAGAGTTCCCAATTAACTCTTCTTATTATTAGATAATCCAAGGCTTTCCCCATAGTGGGAAGAAGACTAATTGGTCTATAGTCCGAAGCCTTGGTTGGATTGTCATTTTTGGGTATTAATTTGATACTAGCAGTCTTCCACACACTGGGGAAATATTTCTGTTGTAAACATTCATTGTACAGATAAACAAACACCACCGGAATCTCGTCAAAAGCATGTTTCAGCATTTCTGATGTGATATTATCCATTCCCGGTGCCTTTTTATTACCCATTGTATAAATTGCTTGTCTAACTTCCTTAAAAGTAAAGAGTTTACATTGTA